CGAGCCGGGAGCCGCGAGGCCTCGCCCCACAGCGACTCCTTTTTATCAATATTGCGTCAAGTGATCTTTCGACCCAGTTATGCATGAACTGTATTAACAAAATGTTAAAAATATTTCAATGTGGTTATTTTTAGAGACTTAAAGTTTATTGTGCAGTACGTTTTAAGTAAAAAGCAAGACTGGTGAAAATGAAAGAAAATACAAAAATAAATACACTTTTATAGTGATATCACAATTCCACACAAAATAAAAAGATAAATATGTATAAATACAAAACATCAAGTACAAACAAAATTCTGGCACTTGTCAAGAGAAAAGGCCCCATGAAAGTTAAGAACCCCTTGTGCTACAATGTTTCATTAAACATATTGGAAGCATGCTTAAATTAAAAAAAAGGTTTAGATGTGAAACATGAACAGAAGGTAGGCGTTCAGTTTTGCTACTACTTAAACCTATGTTTACATCGACATACTGCCTATGCTAATAATACAGCACATAAAACATCCTTTAAGAACATCAATCTTTAGCAGTGCTATATCAACAGCATGTTTTGTCACTTGTGACACAGTTTATGCTTGTCCTTGTAAATTTTTTCCTTCTTGAGATGTTTTCCACTCCTAAGGAAAGTTGGGAACCAAACCAGAGCTTTGATGCCTGTTGGGTGAGCAGGAAGCTTGCCTCGGGCGCTTTCCATATTTTACCTTTGAAATCCAGAGTATTTGTACAAAGGAGGCAGGTCCCCCACCAGAGCCTCCCTCCCAAACTTTCAAATAACAGGACAGTAAAGAGCTATGGAGCAGCATCATTCTTCAAAGTGTTCAGGCAGCATTTTTTCCATTTTCCAAGTATGGAATTTGAGTAACTTGCTCCATAGTGTAAAATATTTGGTTTGAACAAAGTCACTATCTGCAGAGGACAGACTTGGTGGCAGACAAAAGCCATAACTAGTGCCACAAGCAAGCCAACTCCATCACCACTGCCCATGAAGATACTCTCCTCATCCCACCACCAACATTCCTCTTTCATGCTGTACTATTTAACACAATTAAATACTTGGCCACTCTTTTTTTTTTTTGTCTTCTATCCAGGTCACCATGTTACAAAGCTTCACAGGTTGGGGTGTTGCATTGTATGAATACTGAAAAAGTAACAAAATATAACCCATCTCATATTCCCGCAGCCAGTTCTCTACTGCTGTTACAGAATAAAAGAGTAAGCACTGCAAAGACTAACACAGCCAAGCTCTTCTGTAGTGAACTTTGGATGATAACATCATGCCTCAAGTCCATTATAAGGAGCTACAGAATTCTGCTCCCCTCAAGTTGAAGGATAACCCCCATAAGCAGAAAGACCAAAGTAAAATATAAGCATGATCTAAAATGCAGTAGACAGCAAGGAAAAAAACATCCTATGACTCTTCCAGCACAGCAGTTTGATCTGCCACATGTATAAATGCATAATCTTGGTATAGTCATCAGAAGTATGTCTGTCTGCCCAGCAGTTAATCTGGATCAATGTCTGTTCAACTTAGCAGAAATGCAAAACGTTTGGGCCATTAGAATTAAAATTGAGGTAATCTCATTCATATAGAAGGTACATTCAAAAAGGCTGCTGACATTCATGATGGAAGAGCTCAGTTTTGCTGGAAATAACTTATTTTTTCCTTATTTAGCTGCTTTATCTTTATGGTATGATACTAAAAATATATACATACAACTTATTTATGGTGGCAATCATATGGTGGCAAATTGCAATTTTAAGTAATGCAACAGATATGTTAAGCATAAGAATTATAATGTGTGAAAAAGTCACAAATTAACTTCATGTTGCCTTGTGGTGGTCTTCAAATAGAGATTATGAATCTTATGTGTACACAGTAGTATGAATATGTAATAAGTTTTCACATGCAATTTTTCCACAAGTATTAGAGCTTCACAGCCATTTATTACTTCAATATGACTGTATTAATGTGTCATTGTCTGGAAATGACAAAGAATGCTTGTATAGAAGATGCAGTATTTGCATCAGTGGTGAGAATGCCATTATTAACATAAAAAAGCCATTTTATCCCAGTGAGTGCTGTCTTCTTAAATTGTCACAACATTTGGCTTCTTTCTTTGGGTTCTTCCTGCATATGCTCCTAAAACCAAAGTGGAAAAGTTATCATTTTACAATTAGCAGTCCTGTTTTTTGTAACAGAATTATCTAACAGAAATAGCTGAAAGTTTAGGACAATTTTTTTTCTAAGCAGTATTACATATCCAGTGGCTACTTTTAAAATTACCGTATTTATAATGTTACACCAAAAATGCCTTACAAAAACTACTTGTAGGTTTGAAAGTAACAACATTTCATAGTATTTACTTTCACTGTAACTATTTCTTCTTCTTTTCTGCTACTCTGAACCACCTACAACTACAATTCACACGTTTTTAAAAGATAAGTCTGTCAAGTCACCAAGACGGAGAACCAAATATTTCAGGTAACTCTTTCCTTTTCCCCAGCTGTCACATTAATAAACCAAGAGACAGCTGTAGGATTCCATGTTGTAATACACAACCAGAATTCAAAGTGCAGTATGAGTAAGGTCATCAGGCAGAGCCCTTATAAAAGAAAAGCTGCTCAAGTATATAAATAATAAAAAATAAATAAATCTCTCCAAATGGAACAGATCTATACATATATATATTTGGAAACCCTTATTCCATTAGGCATAGCAGAAGCATCTCCCAGTACTAAGGGTTTAGCACTGCAAGCTGCTATGAAGTAGCACAGCTCAGCATTCGGTAGGTTCAGGCAGTTACCAAGTGTCCTGCAAGGTGAGCAGATGTCGACACAAAGCAGTGAAAACCACGGTGCAGAGCAGTGGAAATGGAAGACAGCCACGGCAGAGAAGTAATTACCAGGCAGTTAAATGAATGTGACCAAGTAAGTGCCAGTCCTTCTGAGGCTCTTCAATTCCTCTTTGCTGGAGTTGCAGTGGTTACTTACAGGTGTCCCAGGGCTCCATTCAGCACAGTGCAAAGCAGCTTTGGAAATGCCCAGAGACCTTCCCACAGCAGGATCCCTCAGCCCTGAACACTGTTCCCTGCTATACAAAAGGGCACTCATGCTGGCCCACCACTCTCCAGGGCTGTACTCTTCAGCTCACCTGTGATCTCATCGGACAAACAACTGACAGGCACGATGCCTCATTAGTGATTTAATGCTGCCTCTAAACTCTCAAGTGAGCCCAAAGTTGTATAAAAGTCTCACATTGGAATAGGACAGTACAGGGCAGTGTAAAACAGCCCTAGCAATCTACATTAAGGAACTGATGAAGCCAAATTTTATTAAGAAGAATTACAGCCCTCCTGAATACAGCTATCACATGGCAAGGGAAGTAGGCTACTGACTGAACATCTCAGTCCTATTTAAAATAACTTTAAAATATCATTTAAAAAAAAAAAATTAGCCAGTAAAACTAAGACTCTTCACAGTTTGTATTTTTCTCTTTAGCACAGAACTTTGGATTGAAGGAGTACGAAACACCAAACACTACATTTATGATCACCAGTTGATTCCTAAACTAAATGCCTTCTTGCCAGAAAAAGACACCAATCAATTGGAGTGGTTACAAAGCACTTTCCAGACAGAAGTTAAAAGCAAACAAAAGATTGAAAAAAAAAAAAGCACAAATCAAAGAAGAAAAGCAGGATTACATTACTGTTTTCTTCTGAGGGTTTGTCTCATATCTAATTTGAATGTATTTAGAATACCTGTATTATAATAACCTTCCTTCCCTTTTGCCCCTCTAATAAGCACAATTTATTTGGGAGTCATGGATGAATGAAGACAAGAATTTAAATAAAATATTATGGGTTAGGAGTACAGCAGACTGGTATAATTGCAAATATAAATCTCTGTTTTGCCTAGACAAAGCTGCTGCTGGAAGTCTATGTTTTCTGACATGCACAACTTCTACTGAAGTAAGAAAAGGATATGCATTTGCTTGGCTTTTTACATCTTCTTTTCAAATTTACTTGAGATTATATTTTCTCTGTCTATGCTCTTTCCCAGACTTGTTGCCTCACTACAGATGACTTTCAAGGCTCTCTCTTGAAAAAAAACCAACACTTAATTACTTAAAAAACCCACATATTTTAAAATAACAACCCCCCCCATTCAACATATCACCAAGTCTTTTGCTGCTCACATTTTATCCACGGACAGGGAAACCCACATTATACTTAAATGTATTCAACTTAAGTGTTTTTTCATAATTGCAAAATTATGCAGTTATTTCTTTCATACCAAGTGTTCCCCATCTGAAATGCTGGGGTCTGAACCCCGAGCCCCGAATTAAGGTTGACATATGGGTGATTCCCACAGCCCTTCATAAAGAGGGGGTGAGTTTGCCTTATAGCTTCCCCCCAGGGTGCGGCCGGCCCTGCAGGGAGAGCCAGAAGGGAAATGAGCCCCAGGGGTCCTGCATTGAGTTGACAAAGGTCAGGTGTCTGCTTGGGGATAAAAGCTGGGACCACTGGCAGGGAGTCAGGAGTGTCTGTCTGTGGAGTGCACTCCCCAGAGCTTCCTGGTTCAGGGCAGACCTCCTGACTCTCCCTGGAGCTGGGCCCTGGTCAGTTCAGACCTTTGTGAACACGGGCTAGACAGGTGAGAGTTGCCATGTGGGCACCTTTCTCTTATTTGTTCAACCTTCTGATCTGGCTGTTTCCCTTTCCATCCATGGGAAACCTTGGCTCTCTGCTTGTACCACCTATTATCAGTCCGATTGTCTTTCCTGGGATCGTTGTGGGTAATGTCAGTTGTATGCAAAGTAATTGACTTGTTTATACCCCCAGTGATCACTCATGGCACAACCTTTTTGTTCTCAACACATTCCACTCATTGGTTCATCTTTCTGCTGGTTGTGTCATTCTTGTTAGGCCTAGTCATTGGCAGAACACCATCTCATCAATTTAGAATGCATTTTTATTCATCTAGTACAGGTAGTCTACCCTCTTTATAAAGGAGCACTGGTATTACTCCATGGGAACACATGACGTCCAAACACTAAATGAGGTTACACTGCGCAACCAGAACTGGTCAGACATATCTGCTTTAAGTTCCAAGCAGGCCACTATAGAAGGCATTAAATAGCTTTCCAGATATTCAACAAATAGCAATAAAGGTACAGAAAAATTTAGAGATATATTCCAAAGGATTATTTTCGCTGCCAAGTATCAACTGTCACAACTTGTCTGTGACTAGGACAAACCCCAGGACTGAGCAAGGCAGCACATGCTGCCAACACAGAACAGTGACAAAGCACTTTAACTGGATGTCTGATGCCAGACACAAATGTAAAAAACACTGTAGATCATCCTGAGCTGGGCATGAATTCTGTGAGATTGGGGATGGTGTCCAAATTTCCAATCAGTACTAAACTGGATTGTGACACTACCTTTACACTAATACTCCTCTACAACCTCTGTAATATTGCCACTAGTAAACGTCTTGATTGTTTTTTTGTCCTTGGCCTTCAGCACTCTCATTTACTAGTTAACACCAGACACCTTTTTGTAAACTTGCAGATGGAAAACCTCCCTTAATGGTTACTTCTGGCTGCTAAAATTGTATCGCTTACTTTATTTTCTTCTTTTTATTTCAGAGAGATTATTTACTACCTTGTGTAGTGTCACCGAGTGCAACTGAACAACTGCCTTGCTCCACTTTAGTGGTGGCAGCACTGGCAAGAGAACTGGCAACAGAAAAATAAAGGAACAAACCTTGGTTGTAATCTCATTGCTGGCTTTTTTATTTTCCTCTCATTTTTTTTCCCCCTTCTTCAAACTGAAACACTAGTGTAGTTTCTTACTAGACATCATCCTATGGCCACTTCTCTTTAGCTTCACAAAAGGCTACGAAAAGACCAAACACTCTGGGAAACCCTCATATTTAAACAATGTACACGCTGCAATAAAACTCGCAGATGCTCCCTGCCAACATTGCTCCAGGGCAGTAATAAAAAAGAATTTCCCTTACAGGAAAGGTTTGATACTTAATAAAGATAACTCAGATCGCTATGGAAAACAGTTGAAATCCTGCTGCATTATAAATTTGCCTGATTGAGACAAAAAATTCACTATTTTTACACTTGTGGAACTCCCATTTGAGAACAAAGTGTAGTTAAGATCTTATTCAGTTTTAAAACGTATAAATCACTTTATCTTTTGATAAATTAAGTTTCATCACGTAAGAAACTTAAAATCTGATTAAGAAAAAAAAAGAAATTGTGTAAGACGTTCCAATGTTTTATTCCTTACATGCCTGAACGGGCTGAAAACTGAGAGGTTTGGCACTATTATCAAACACTTTTAATAAAAGGTAGCCAATCAGTAATCTCTGTATGCAAGTACAGGAATACTCCACTTTTAAAATTGGTCATTAAGGCTCAAACATTCTGTAAGGTGCTACAGGAGTATGTGTAGTTTTAGGACTGTATGATTACTGAAAGCCCACTGAGAAGTCTGAAACTGTCTTTCCTGTCCTTTCAATAGGCTTTGGGTTGGACACAAGTTACAGGTGTGTACAGAGCTAGCAACCAGATGACATTAACAATCTCATCCAAGTCTATTTTGACTACTACTAGATTCTCAAGCATATAGCAGAGTGAAGATGTCTAGCAAACTTTTTTGTGACTGGGCATCCAGCGTGAGTGAAAGCAAATGAGCTGTGCAGTACATTCTATATTTTATGTTTATAGAATTTGAAAGTGAATGGTTAAGTTACCAGCACATCTGTTTAAAGAGATAGGTTAAAGACATAGCAAAGCAGGTGCACAAGAAAAGGAAAACAATATATTGCCCATTTACTTTTTCTAGACACTAGTAACTTATTTACTATAAGATCCAAGCACCAGTTTTCTACACACCTGAAACAGCCTTGTAAGACACTCTGCTCTCTGAGGCCTTCTTTCTATTTTGCTCAACCCCCTTCACTGAGGTCTTAAGGGTTCTAATTAAATATAAAAGGAGTTAATAAGTCATTTGCAATAACGTTGAAAGGCTGTATCCAAAAATATAAAGACACCATCAAACTGTGTTTGGCATGAAAACATTTTCAGTGTTCCACAGAGACCCCTCCTGAGTATGTGTACAATTCCTACTGACGTTATTCTGGCTTATGCTGCTACATTAAACAGGAGAGCATCTCCCCATGAACAGACTTTAAAACCATTCAAGAAACTGATTCAGTTCAGATACTGTGGCATTAGAGTCTACATATAAAAACATACATATTTCATTAAGTGGAAGCAAAGCTTCATGGAATGAATGTTACAAATAGAAATGTTGGAACAGTGTAAATGGAGACAACACACAAAAGGATGAGAACAGGAAATATCTTCTTGCAGTATAAGGTAAAACAAAGCTTCATCACTCTCTCAAAGTACTGTGATAAGTCATTATTTTTACTTCCAAAAACAGTTGCACCAGTATGTGGAAATATTAATCTGAAATCACTGTGCTCTTGCACTTTGCATTTACTTTCATCTTCAGGCTATAAGCATGCTGTGCCCTTACCCTTGTCTGCAGAGCAGTCTATGAACTGGGGCATTCTGGCCTTGGTTGGGTTGAAGTACGCTGTTAAAACACAAACATTTATTAGCAATTTTTCCCTTCTTTAAAAAAAAAAAAAATCTCATAAGGAATAATGAATCATCATCATGTTTCACATAATAAAATCTGAGAAAGGCTAACAGGTTCTGTACTGCAGATGGCACGCAGGCAAAAGTGGCAGGAATTACAATTCCAGAATAGGATTATTACTTTCACTATTTAAAAGAAAAACTAAAAAGCACAGATAACACCTGCTCAAAAGTGCCTTGGATTCCTAGATCATTATTAAGACAACAGGAAAAAAAGACTGAATTGTTTAAACTAGTCATTGAAGATAGAACTGTATTGGTAGACAGCACTTCTTTAAAGCTTCTGGGCAAGCATGGGATAAAAAAACTGTTCATAATGCATGCCAGGTAATTGACTTTTTATACTAGAAAAAAAGTGAGGCCTTCTAAGAGAAGGGCCGGGAGCAATGAATCACAGTCTAGACCCAAGAACTTTTCCTCACTTCTGACAGCTTTCTAAATATAAGCATATTGATGATCACACTGCAAAGTAAAGGGTATTAAGAAAAGCAGGAGTGTCAAACTGACACTTAAGACATACTACAATGTATCTCAGAGGAAAATCTTGAGCCTGAGCACAGAGATATAAAGCCATAAGAATTGACTCCGAAGAAATCTTTTCTAACTTCCAATGAGCTAATAAATCCCCTTCTCAGACCATGCTAAGTCAGATTTCCTTACTGTCCGTCATAATAGTGGCAAGAATTCAGCTGATTGATGGGAAACTAGGAACACAGATAGAAGATTATAAGAGTTCTTTGAGAGCATTCTAATACAAGTAATCTTCACTCACCGGCTTTCAGGATTTTTTTGTTTTATGATTATTTTTTTACTTGGCATTCCCATTTCTGAGGCCCTAGGGAAACAAAAGTATTGAAACATATTTGAATTATAAAATCATCATCTAGGTCTTAAACAGAAATAGCAATGGAAAACCTCCAACAGGATCTACATCTGTCAGAGCACTACTACAAATTGTCATCTTTGACTCACAAGCAAGTGTAACACAACTCTTCACTCCACTGTTTTGCAGGAGAGTGCCTGCTACCACCCCCCCATCCCCCCCCAAAAAAAAACCCAAACCTTTGCCAGAGATACTATATCAAGTGTCCCTGCTGCTAGGCACTTCAGAAAGACTGATAAAATAACTAGGAGCACTCTTTACAATTTACAAAATCAGCCATAAACTAAGTGCTCACCACTGGAATACAGCATAAAGGCACAACTTAGAAAAATGTTCTTCTCCCATACAAAGAAGTCACTTAAAAGTAAAGAGCGAACTACACCACACACCTGCTGGCAGTTTTTAATACATGCTTCCTAGAAAAGACATTAGTTTGCAAAGAAGCTGTTACTCCAAACACTTAGTTTCCACATTTCTGAGAGCTCCTACACATCCCCTTGCAGCCCACGCCCACCACCACAAAGGGAGAAACACACGTACTTCATGTACTTTTTCCTATCCAGGGATTTCTGTGTAGCTGTTGAAAGTGTCACTCTCTCTCTTGGGCTCTTTACTTTATCCTACGAAAGCAAAAGAATTAACAGTAACACTAGTTACTGCTCTCACTGCACTTCAACCACGCGACCTGCCCCTGCTTAAAGAAATTTTAAAAAAAACCAAACTACACACCAAAACCAACAGTGCTTTCAGTACTAAGCAGGCATTCAGGCTAAAGTTAAGGGTTTTTTCTTTTTTTAAAACTAAAGAATCTTCCTTATATTACCAGATTCAAAAGTCTTATGTGCCATATCAAATTCTTGTTATGGACTTTTTGTTATTACTTTTGCCATGTTTTTCATTCTAGTTTTTATATACCTATGTATTAGAAGTATCAACATAATCTCCTACTGTACTGACCTGTTTTTTTAATTATTTGAAGAAGGTTACCTACAGACATGTAATTAATTTACATTTAAAAAAACACTTTACTGGGCGAGGAAGAACCTCTTAAAAGCAAAATGATTCAGTACTTAAAAGTCTTAAAGTTTACTTTCTCTTGAATATAACACACCATTTGCCTGAGCATCTTCTCCTTACGAACTTCACGATCGTGACGCAGAATATTCATTCTTTCCGATGCCTCCATTGTGAAAAAGATGTCATGGATGTCATACAGTGCAGCTCGCAGCTGGAAAGAATCGTCAACATTTTAATAAAATATCCAGTCAAGTTAACATTCCCATGATTTTGATCATCAAGCTCTTCTTGCTTCCAGTCAAAACAAAATGCTTGGAAAAAATATTTTGAAATAACTGTTAATGCGTCAGCACAAAAAAAGAATCTTCTCTTCACAGCTCTGTTTTAAACTTGTTACTTTACACAGAGTCACTGTGAAGTTTTAGGTATTTATGCTACAAAAGCAGAATAGAGGAAAGAAAAAAAAAAAGGTTTAAATTGTGTCACCTGAGCCATTACTCTTTCATGAAGGGATGCATCTTGTGCTGAAACACTTCCTCTTTTTAAGGGGGCTTCAGACTGAAAATTTTTTATGAACTCCATAGTATCCTAGGGGAGACAGGAAAATAAAATGAAGCACCAAGCAGAACCCTTCACAACACACCAATAGTTACAAACTGTACGTGTAGGACAGACATTCTTTGTTTGACTTGCACCTTATGACACTAAGCAATGCAACACTCAAACATGTTCATCAGACAGACATTCCCAAACTCTTCTGAAAGCAGAAAATGCAAGATTTCATTTGTCAATTGAAGACAGGAACAAAAACAAACAGGAGAAGCTGCCCGATACAAAAATGCTGATCTTACTTTTACAGTTTGTTTAAGGTGTTTCAGTTTTTCTGTCTGCAGGAGTCTACGAGTGAGAAACCCTTTTGCCACAGCAGTGATCTTATCAAACTTCATTTTGATCTCCGGACTGAAAACCTTAAAAGAAGAAGAGTGTTTTCTAAACAATTAATGAAAAAAGCAGGAATTATGAATTATTTCTCAAAAACACAAATCACGTGACGTAAGTTTTCAAGTGAGGAAGAAGCTGTTGATACATGTTTTGGCTAGGCCAGAAGTACCTACCATACTACTAACTTAGCAGAAGCAGTATGCTGTTATCTGAACGAGAAAAATACCCTATACGGTTCTCTCATTAATTGAAGTCGATTAGGGAGGGATAATAAACTTTTCTGTGAGATTTAGTACTGCACAGATATTACAAAGTTACTGGCGTCTTAAAAAACTAGATGGCTTTTTAAGCTATAAATAATTATTTTTTTTCTTTACCTGAGTCCACCTTTTGATCCTGTTACTTGGCCTAGATACTGAGGTTTTTATTACTCCACTGCCTGATGGTCCCCACAGAAAGAATGAAGTTTCACTTGTTGAAGTAAAGGTGTTAGGTGTTGTAGTATGAGCAAAACCTGCATGCAAAGCAGAATGTACAGTTCAACACATGCTTTTGTGCGTGAAGCAACGACTATGTGCATGTACACACTCAGCTCAGAGACAGCAGCTTTGTTTATAACCTCAGGTTATAGGCAAGAAGCATTTTCTGGTATGGGTACTTCCGCTTCATCACCTAGCAAAGTCTGCTGAACAGGAGACAAAACAAAACACTGCATAAAGTTCTGGAACACGTGAGAGGTGTTCTATCAGGTACAGCTGTACTTCCTTGCAGTCAAGGACCCTGGCAGAGCCCCTCTAATCCTCCTACACAAAGGCAAACACCTGGCCCACGCTGTGCAGCTATATAGCACAAGAATGAACCTTCTGTGACATGATGCAAATCCACATCCTTGACCAAATGAGTTCACACAAAACATGCCCTGTAACAATTCTACAACAAACAACACACAGTGCAGTACAGGGATGGCTGAGTCTGTGTTAAATGCTAGCTAGACAATGATGCAACATGGCATTTGTTTTACATGTGCTGTCAGCAGCTGAGGGCAGTAGCTGGTCAAATTGCCTGATCAACAAGTGCCCTAGGACAGAACACACCATGGGTCAGCCAGCCCAGTCAAGCACTGCAGAGCAAAATCTATCCCACCACACATCACAACATTTCATCCTTACTCTACCCTCCCGGTTTACCAGTGCTGGTAGAGTTTGTGTTGTGGGCTGTCTCCAGCTGAGACTGCACACTTTCCAGCAAGCCACTTCCGGTTTTTTTCCTCCACTCCAACTCCATCCTGCTGTTAATATTCACTTTGGAAATTTCTATTTCTGTGGTGGCAATCTTCTTTCCTTTCAACTTTCTCTCCTGTTCTTCTAGTTCCTGGAAAAGAAAGAACCAACTATAAGACAGCTTTCCTACCCCCACAAAGCAATAGATTATACATTTTAAACCTAACCACTTCCTGACAAACTACAATGCAACACGCTTGCCCTTTCCTTGGAATTTTTCCTTTTCATCCTACCTTCTGCAATTTCTCCTGTTCTCTCTCTTGTTCAGCTATCAGAATCGACAGTTGCTGTGCATGTTGTTCTTCAAGTCTCTTTCTCATTTCCTCAAAGGCCAACATTTTAGTTTTTAAAATATCTTCTGAAAAGACAAATTACGAAGCATCGAGTATTAAATATTTTCCATATGATCTTTGCCACAGACTTTTAACAGGAGCAATTGGCATCATCAGTAAAAAAGTACAACACATCTTTGATATCAGTTTTCCATTATGTATTGCAAAGAATCTCATCAGTTACTACAGTCCTTCAAAATGTCTGCATGTTTGTATTTGTGGGATAAGAATGTCAGTGGAACAGCAGTAACAACAACATGCTACCAATGTTTTAGCTGATGTTTCCTTATAAATAGCTTAATCTAGTATTTGTTATGAGTAACTGTTACAGGATTTTTGACTCCAAGTGACTCCAAGTGATTTTTGACTCCAAAGACAGCAATTATTCCATTCTGTAGCAGTTAAAGCCAGCTCAAGAAGCTACCTGATTTTCAGAATTTATTCATTAAAAAAATAGAGAAATAATGAGGTTACTGAAAAAAAGATAAATTACACTCAGTAAATTTCAGCCTTTTGATATATACACATATTTAGAAACACCAATGACTAGTGATTGTTGGTTTTTTTTCTGAAAAGGTATAAACTGAGAATTAAGTTTAAGAAAAACCCTCAGTATTTTACCTTTTGCCATACTATCAGGGGCTGCATTCTTGGTAATGTAAACTGACCCAACAGCATGCTTCTGTTCTTGCAACCACTGCTTCTCTTGTTCTTCCATTCCAACTGTTAGAACACAGGGACTGTTTTCCTTTTGGCAGTTGTCAGTGTCCAAATCAAGTCTACGTTTTACCTTTTCAAAACTATTTTCTAAAAACTGTTCATTAGCTGGGGAACTTGGAGTGTTCATCTGCTGTTGCATATTCTTGCTCTGCATTAGTAGTGGGGATGGGTTTTCCACGTCATAAGATTTATTGAGTTCTACTGGAGAGTTACATTTAGTGTTTTCTAGCAAACTAGAGGGTTTGGTTTCATTCATAGCCAGGAGCTTCTGTGTTACCACAGACTGACTGATGGCAAACGGCTCATTCAATTTTGGAGCCACAGTATTAGTACTGGTCTCTACTTTATATGGCCCTCTGCTGTCCACCACTACCTGTCCTTCCACTGTAGCTGACAACGTCCCTTTGCTTTCCAGATGTCCAAAGGAATGGTGATTCAGTTTGCTGACCCCCATCCCGTCACAGGGGCCTGAAGAATTCCTGTTGACACCAGGAACTCTGCCAGGGCAAACCATAGTGAAGTCCACCATGAACCTGGGCACAGATTCAGACACGTTATTTTTATCAGCAATATCTTGCATGATTAAATCCATTGCTCTACCCTTGCCTTTCGGACTCAACTCGGACGCACTCACAGGGTTATTTATAATGATGTGTCCCATGGATAAAGGTCTTGGGCGCCTTCGGTGCATTTTAGGGCTCATGCTTGGCTCTGGGCTTGGCAATTTAGTGTAAGAGCCTGTGAGGCTCCTGACAATACTGCTGTCACGATCAAAGACACAAGTCTTTCTAAATTCTTCATCCGAATCTGAATCCACCAGTGGGGGTGTTCCAACTCTCATAGGTATGTCCACTTTAGAAAAACTGGATAAAGTGGACATACTTGTGTTATTTGTATGAGTAGAGGCACCTTGGAGAAGAGCATTTGATTTATTAAGATTGGGTTTATCAGGTGCCAGACCAGTGCAAGTTCTGCCTGTAAGCTTTACTCTTTCTTTCACAGAATCCGTTGTTTTAACACCATCATTTTCTTTATCTGAATGGCTTTCACTCATACTTCTCCTTGAATTACTTTTTGAACTACGCTTTGTTTGCTCTTTCTCTACGTACTCCCTAGATTTCTTCATCAGGTTCTGAAGACTCATTACAGAGGAATCTTGGACTTCCTCATCCAGTGGTGGCCCTTCCAGTCCCTCCGGCTTTTGCAGAGCATGTGATGCAAGCTTATTATGCACATTGTCAGGAGACGCAGCCCTTGGACAAGGTACCTCTTTTGAGAAATGACTCTCACTCTGCTTTGAAAAAACATTTTCTTCGGCTGCTTTAATGACTTCTGTCACATTTGATGTCACCTGCCCAGTAGTATCTGATGCCTTAAGTTCCATTGTCTTGTCAAGGTCCATGGGAGCACGCCTTTCAGGAGAACATGCCAAACTGACACTGGATAGAGCTGTGAACTCAGTTGAAGCTTTTGAATCTGGATCAGGGAAAATATTCTCAGCTTCCTGTGTGTTCACGTGACTCATGCCAGCTCCCTTCCTCAGCTGCAAATAAAAATAAAATCATGTATTCTCAATGACATCTCCTCAGAGTCTCAGACTTCCACAAGCTTAATCGAAATTAAAAAAAAAAGAATTCTACCACCTTAAAACAAATAAAAATGTTCAGTTTGACTGTTACAAATCTACAAATTAGTTATAATATAGAGCTCTTTGCATAAAGATGTTACTGAAATTAAAATATAAATTTCAACAATGGTCCATTCAGGATTTTTACTGACACCAAGTATCTGAATGCAAAGATACTCTTTTCTTCATAAGGTAGTTGGAATATTTTCAAAAAATTTTATGGTTTCAAATTACCTTGCAAGATTCCTCTTACAATATGAAAACACGTTTACATTAAATAAGAAATGTAATCAAAAAATTCCAGCATGAAATACAAACTAATCTATAGATAACCGTGAACAAATACACCAAATTCCTAATAAAAATAATGGAACAATAAAGCAATTTGTTCACTTTTTTACCAATCCAGAGACAATTAAATACAAATTTTCCTTTGTCAAGTACTTGGAAAACCAACTCTATTTTAAGTAAAGCAAGAAGTAAATGCTACTTCTAGTCAGTATGTTTAAAAGAATTTTCACACTAAAATTATCATATAGGTTATCCTTTGTGTTGCAACTCAACCATCAAGGGGACATCTTAGGGGGAAAAAAAAAAGAAAAAAAGCTAACTTATTGTTGTATTGAGCATATGTGTTCCCGTCTGCTCTTCAAACCCCAAACCAGATGACTGTTGCCATGTGCACTCCAGTAAACAATGCAAACCGGTAGGTTCTGCTTTCCACCTTAGTAACACAACAAACTCAGTGTTAACTGTACTTGTTTAAGCAACAGGTTAATTTCCAGACTGAATTACAGCCGCTTCAAAGATAAAGAATACTGCTTGATTAAATGTATTTAATGTTCTTTTCAATTTCACTATCTACAAAATTCATAATGGAAGCAGCGAAGAACACAAAATAGTTACAGTGAAATTATAAAGCACACAACAGAATCACAAGGCAGCCAGTTGCTCTACCACTGGGAGGGTGGGGGTGTTCAATTGTTTTACAATCTAGTCGTTACAAACACAAGCCAGTCATCTGGCATGGCCTGTCTTTTGCAGGTACCAAAACAAGCACTGAAAAGAAAATGAACGTAGATATTATCACTTAATAATCAATTATCAGGTCACATAGCCAGAAACACTAGCAAAGGCTCGTTCTGAAGAGCTAACTGCTATTAATTTTGTATTTATGCTGGTGAATACTTAAACTCCAGCACTTTCTCAAAATGTCTATATGCAGAAGTCTTCTGTAAACTGCACGAAGGCTTTGGACTAACACTACCTGAACATTTTCTAGAATCTCCTGTACACGATTCATTAAAGCTCTCTTCTTGGAGTTCTGTCTCCAGGTCTCCAGGTCCAGTGCTTTCTGTTTATATTGCTGTATTTCCTTTTTCTTCTCAAGGCTAAGCTGCAAAACAGAATGTAAGAAATATGGTTTGTAACACTAAATGCAATTTTTTACACAGAATTACAGAAATAAATTAGAAAGAAAACCAATAGAGCAAAACAATGGAAGAATAACAATCACCTAAGCTGAGACTTTGGGCACATTTTAAATGCCTCTTTTTAACCAATTACACTTTTTTCAAAGGAATATGCACAAAACGCCTTCTTGGCACACATGCAAATGAACAGGAAACTAAAAGGGAGGTTTGGGCATCCTGTAGAGCCCTCTGTGACCAACCTTCCTACCCAGGAAGCACTAGCTAACAACTGCCCTCTTGAAACTGAGGTGGATTTCACAACAAGACAGAAATGTATGCAAGAAGTCTTCTGGACCCTTTCAAAAATCATAATCTGAAAATCTTCAAAGCTACTGGTTTAAAATATGTAGTTTTGAAAAAAGTCAAGAACACATCTACAAAACTACATCTACATGAAATAGTTTCACAAAGGTCTACAAAATTAAGTAGTCTAAAGTCAAACTATGCATTTCTGCTCTGAAACCTTAAAATATCCACCCATTTGTAAATGAAAAATGTTACAATATAACTTTTACTCTCCAGTGTATCTCGATATCATGGCTTTAGGAGCTCGGTGTTAGAAAGTCTGTTATGGGAAGTATGAATGGAGAGAAACAAGGAAGTCAGCTGCTTTAGGGCACAAACTATCAACAGTCTTTCTGCTTGGTTCTGTTTGCACTAAGCATAGAATGACTTAACATAACTGACAAGCCTGTGAAATACCTTAGAGAAAGCTGCAATCACAGTTTAAAAGCTTTTAAGTAAATTTCTTCTTCGCCCATCTCAGTATTTCCCACTGCAGGGGGTTTTTGGTTTTGACGCTTCTAAACAAACTCACATGTTCAATATTTGGAATGTCAGTATGATTTTTCTTGAAGCCCAGCAGTAACATCCATCTATTTAATACCACAATTTTACTCCCCTTGTGAGGATAACAAATTTCAAGAAACAAAAGTAAATGTAGTCAATGGGAAGAAAGGTACAGTTTACTGCTTTTATTTTGTAAAATCAAGGTTACAAATCCTTGAAATACACTAAGCAGCAGGCCAGACAACAACTCACACGGAACTGTAACTTCAGCAGAATCATTACACGTAGACATCAATGCTAGTGCCAGTAGCACAGTAAGCACACCAGGGAAGGAAAGAAATAAAAGCCTTACCAGAGGGGAAAGCACAGGAACTCCATGGAATTGAATGAGCGAGATGTTTTTGCACTGAGCAGTGAAAGAGGTTTCTCTTTTTATTGCTTCTCCCTGGATTCTAGAAAAATGCTTCTTACAGAATATTTCATAGTCCTCCATCTTCATGTTAGCTAAGCTGCAAAGAATAACATCACTCTTCCACATATTTCCAAGACCATGCAAGGCAAGCAACACAACTAATACTGTATCGCTGTATTCCGGGAAACAAATTATACACTAGAAACCTGAATTTTTCATCTTCATCCTACCATTAATAAAAGCTTCAAAGCTGGGTTTCTTTCCTATATAAAAATAAAATCTGAATAATGAGCAAAACCAAATTATCACACTGAGAAGAATGCAAGCACTGATGTAGTGAGAATTTGCAAAACTTCACACGCTAGAGATCATTTCCAAAGACTAAACCTTCAAGGTCTCCCCACACCCACCGGATAGACCCTATCAACTGTGGGAAAAGAAAGCAATACACGAAATTGCAGCCAAATTTTTAGAAATTAAAAAATAAATAAGGCGGTATTTAAGCAAGACCAGCCTTTATATTTATGGAGCTGAGAAGAACTTGTGTCTCGCTCCCAGGTGCCTCCTCCTCGATACATCCTCCTAGGAACACACGCTGATACTTCCAACAAAAAATACACTGCATCCTTGTTTCCTTACGAGCCTGCTGATCGCGCACTGCCCATGGCACCCGGGTGAAGATCCCGAGCGCAGTGCGGCCCG